CCCTCGCTTGCGCCGCCCTGCATTCCTTGCGTCGAGGGGCGGCAGCGCGCCGCTCCTCACTCCTCCTCGTTCCCTCCCACAGAGGCTCCCCTGCAGACTCTCCACCTGGACGTGTGGGGCCCAGCCCGCGTCCGTGGACAGGGCCACGAGCGGTACTTCCTGCTGGTTGTTGACGACTACACGCGTTACACCACGGTCTTTCCCCTGCGCAGCAAGGGGGAGGTCCCTGCTGTTTTGATCCCTTGGATCCGCGCTGCCCGTCTCCAGCTCCGCGAGCGGTTCGGGACGGAGTTTCCCGTCCTGCGTCTGCACTCTGACAGAGGTGGTGAGTTCTCCTCCGACCTCTTGGCGGCCTTCTGTGCGGAGCACGGCATCACCCAGTCGTTCACGCTTCCGGACTCTCCGCAGCAGAATGGGGTTGCTGAGCGCCGCATTGGCTTAGTCATGGAGGTCGCTCGTACCTCCATGATCCATGCGGCTGCCCCCCATTTTCTGTGGCCGTTTGCGGTCCGGTACGCCACGCATCAGCTCAACCTCTGGCCCCGTGTCTCCTTGCCGGAGACCTCGCCCACACTGCTGTGGACGGGGAAGGTTGGCGATGCGTCGCGTTTCCGGGTCTGGGGTGCTCGTGCCTTTGTCCGCGATACCACCGCGGACAAGCTCTCCGCCCGTGCAGTTCCCTGTGTCTTCCTTGGCTTTGTCCCTGACGCGCCTGGTTGGCAGTTTTACCACCCCACCTCGCGCCGTGTCTTTGCGTCTCAGGACGTCACGTTCGATGAGTCGGTTCCCTTTTACCGTCTCTTCCCCTACCGCACTGCCCCTCTCCCTCCCCCGCCGCTCTTCCTCGCTCCAGGTGCTCCCCAGGTCGACCCTCTCCCCGCTCCAGGTCCTGCTCCCTCAGGTGTGTCTCAGGTAGACCCTCCTCCCTTCCCTGCGCTGGTTGAGGTCACTGGTGACTCAGGTCCTGCTGGGGGTGGTCCTGCTCGGGGTGCTACTTCTGGGGGTGCTGAGTCTGGGGGTGCTGAGCCTGGGGGTGAGGAGCCTGGGGGTGCGGAGCTTGAGGGTGTCGAGCCTGGAGGTGCTGAGCCTGCGTGTGAGGGGTCTGGAGGTGCTGGAGCTGGTGGTTCTGGGGCTGCTGAGGGTGCTAGCGCTGGAGGTTCTGGAGCTGCTGGAGGTCCTGGTGCTGGTGGCGCTGGAGCTGCTGAGGGTGCTGGCGCTGAGGGTTCAGAGTCTGCTGTTGCGCGGTCTCCTTGGAGTAGCCGCCTTCGTCCACGTGTGCCTCTCACCTCGCAGCAGCTGCACGACTGGTACGGTCGCCGTCAGGGTCGCGCTGCTGGAGCCCGGGGCTCTACTGCTGGAGGTACTTCTGCTGCCGTCCCTGGAGCTGGGAGTGGTGCTGGTACTGTTTCTACTGGAGGTGCTGGAGTCGCTGGTCCCGGAGGTGCTCGTACTGGAGGTACTGGAGCTGCTGGGGCTGGGGGTGCTGCGTCTGGAGGTGCTGCTTCTGGAGACACCGAGGCTGGAGACCCTGGGACTGGAGGTGCTGGTTCTGGGGGTGCTACTGCTAGAGACGTGGGGGCTGGAGACCCTGGGACTGGAGGTGCTGGTTCTGGGGGTGCTGCTGCTGGAGACGTGGAGGCTGGAGACCCTGGGACTGGAGGTACTGGTTCTGGGGGTGCTGCTGCTGGAGGCACTGGGGTTGGAGACCCTGGGCCTGGAGGTGTCGGTTCTGCTGCTGGAGGTGCTGGAGCTGCTGGGGGTACTGAAGCTACTGGAGCTGCCGGTTCTGGTGCAGCTGCGCCGCCACGCCTGTTCTTCGCTCCGCCGTCTCCGTCGTCTCTGCCGCCGCCTGACTCTGCTCTTCGTCAGGTTCTTACTCTCCCGTCGTCTACTGGTCTTCCGTTAGGGCCTGGCTCACCGCTGCCTGCTCCTTCTCCTTACACTGAGCAGACGGGTAGTCTTGCTGAGCGTCGTGAGCCTGCGTCGCGTCCTGTCTTGCCTGTTCGTCCTAGTCGTACCGGTCGTCGTGTTCCGTGTCCGCGTTCGCCGCCTGTCCCCACCGCACACCTTGTCGTCCGTCGTCCTTCCTCTGTTCCGCAGTCTGTTTCTCTGCCGTCTCCTCCTGCGTCTTCCTTGCCTCACGTTCCGGACCCTGAGTCTGACCGGTTTCGTGCTGAGCACCCTACTGTCACGCGTCTGCTCGCCACTGTTGTCACTGACCCCTCGTTTGAGTCTGCTGCTGCGACTGCTTTGGTTGCTGAGCTTGTTGACTTTGCGGCTGCCTGTCGTCTAGACTACGCTACTAGTCTTGTCGCTGAGTCTGAGTCTGTCTCTCCTCCGTCCGTCGGGGGTGAGTGTGCTCTTAGCACGGACGTCCTTGAGGACAGGCACGAGGACCTTGAGTGTCTTGCAGCCGCTGCGCCTCATCTCGTGACCATGCTGCTTGCCCCTGAGGGAGACCCGGATGCACTAGACATCCCCACCCCGCGCTCGTACGCTGAGGCGGTCGCGGGTCCCTACTCCTCTCAGTGGCAGGCAGCCATGGACGCAGAGATGGCATCCTGGAAGTCCACAGGCACCTACGTCGACGACGTTCCCCCTCCTGGGGCGAACATCGTCAGTGGCATGTGGATTTTCAGGGTGAAGCGGCCGCCTGGTTCTCCGCCTGTCTTCAAGGCACGTTACGTTGCTCGAGGCTTCAGTCAGCGAGAGGGGGTTGACTTCTTCCAGACCTTCTCCCCCACCCCGAAGATGACCACTCTTCGGGTACTGCTGCACGTTGCCGCCCAGCGTGACTACGAGCTTCACTCGCTTGACTTCAGCACAGCTTTCTTGCAGGGCAGCCTGCACGAGGAGATCTGGCTGCGCCGCCCACCTGGCTTCACTGGGTCGTTCCCTCCTGGTACCCAGTGGAGCCTCCGCCGGCCAGTCTACGGTCTCCGTCAGGCGCCTCGTGAGTGGCACGACACACTGAGGACTACGCTTGCGGCTCTCGGGTTTGCGCCCTCCACAGCTGACCCGTCACTGTTTCTGCGCACCGACACTTCGCTGCCGCTGTTCTACATCCTCGTGTACGTCGATGACTTGGTCTTTGCCACTGCTGACACTGAGGCTCTCGCCCTGGTGAAGTCGGAGCTGCAGAAGAGACACACGTGCACAGATCTGGGTGAGCTGCGCAGCTACCTTGGCTTGCAGATCACCCGGGACAGAGCACGTCGCACCATCACTCTGACTCAGTCACACATGGTGCAGCAGGTCCTTCAGCGCTTCGGCTTCACCTGGTCCTCGGCACAGTCCACTCCTCTGGCTACAGGTCACTCGCTCTCAGCTCCACCTTCGGACGAGTCCGTAGAGCCGAGTGGTCCTTACCCAGAGCTAGTAGGCTGCCTCATGTACCTGATGACTTGCACTCGTCCTGACCTTGCGTACCCTCTTGGCCTTTTGGCCCGCTACGTGGCTCCTGGTCGGCACCGAAAGGTGCACTGGGATGCTGCGAAGAGGGTACTGCGCTACTTGTGCAGTACATCGGGCATGGGGCTCGTGCTTGGAGGACGGCGAGAGGTGGTCCTCACTGGGCACTCAGACGCGTCTTGGGTTGACGACCAGGCTACACAGCGGTCGTCACAGGGTTACACTTTCAGCCTCGGCTCTGGCTCTGTTTCGTGGCGTTCTACTCGCTCGTCTTCTGTTCTCAGCTCCAGTTGTGAGGCTGAGATCTACGCCACCGCCATGGCTGCTCAGGAGCTGCGCTGGCTCACGTACCTGCTGACCGACCTGGGAGAGCGGCCTCGTTCTCCTCCAGTTCTGTACGTTGACAACAAGGCAGCCATTGCCTTGTGTGAGGAGCACAGACTGGAGCACAGAACGAAGCACATCGCTCTGCGTTACTTCCTGGCTCAAGAGTTGCAGCAGCGTGGTCAGCTTCGTCTTGCACACGTGGCCACTCGGGCCAACACTGCTGATATATTCACCAAGGCACTTCCGTCTGGTGATCATCAGCGCTTTTGTACCTTGTTGGGCCTTGTGCCTACGTTTCCACACTTGCTGTAGACTCTGCCTGTACTGTGATCTTTATATATATATATATACCTGCATGCTTGCTCTTGCTAGGTAGTGATCACTGTACTTTGTTTGTTGCATATATACCTCTGCATGTGGACAGGCCTTGTGGCCCTTTGCTTGTGCTCAGTGTGTGTGGTGACGTTGTGATCCACCCTGAGCTTGTTTTGTTTCTCTTGACTGGTCTTGTGACCCCTTGTTCTCCCCCACTTTGCCTATGGGGGTGTGTCAAACTATGCATATTGTGTTTGTGTAGGCTGCTAGTGGGGTAGCCCATATGGGGTACAACCCAATGTTAGGGTTAGCTTATGTACCCAACTCTTGATCAATGCATCATCCTTGTCTCTAGATTCTAACAGCATCTACAGACCACACCCCATCCCCGAGCAAGTCAGTAAACCTACAAGACAAGTCCGTAACTGAAGTGCCTATAACATATGGTAGCCCACTATACGGTAGAAAGATGGAAGATTCGTCGCTTCCATCAAGCAGCTTTCCACCACACCTCATCAGCAAGTGGAAAGACTTCAGCCCATTAAAAGCGCTCCATTGTTGACTCAGACTGGGAAAGCCGCCCACCTTGTTCCTCGTCCTCCCCATCAACCCCTCTTCCCTCCTCCTTGTGCCCCACCCACCCTCACCCCCCTCGCAACCCCATTCCCCCCATCAATTGACTACTCCCCATTGGCAAATGCTATTTCTCCCCACCACTAAAAAGGCAAAGGAAAAGAGTATCTCCAGGTTCCTCCTCTCCCTGTGTGTGGTAACAGGCCTCTCCCCTCCGCTGAAGGTCTTCAGGTTCCTCCTCTCCCTGTGTGTGGTAACAGACCTCTCCCCTCCGCTGAAGGTCTTCAGGTTCCTCCTCTCTCTGTGTGTGGTAACAGGCCTCTCTCCGTTGAACAGGAGTGCCTCGTCCCATGTGCATTCCCCTTCCCACGCTGCTAGAAGTGCTTCTCCACGAAGGAAAACAACGCCTCCAAGTTCCTCCTCCCCCTGTGTGTCGCGACGGGCCTCTCCCCATTGAATAGCATGAGCGTGGGGAAGCCTGGGATCTTGTACTTGTCCGTTAACTCAGGGTACCTGTATGCATCCACCCGAGCTACCTGTTTTTTTTATGGGTGGAAGGAATGGGGTGGATAGACATGTACGGCAACAAGCAGGGCGGAAGGGATGGAGAAGCCTGGGATATTGTACTTGTCCGTGAGCTCGGGATATCTGTATGCATCCACCCGAGCTACCTGTTGATTGAGGGAGGAGGGGGGTGGAATGATTTGCGAATCTAGGTGCCAAGCAATCCCTCCCTCCGTTAAACAGCACGAGTGTGGGGAAGCCTGGGATCTTGTACTTGTCTGTGAGCTCGGGGTATCGGTAAGCATCCACTCGGGCCACCTGTTGTGGGGGTGGAGGTGAGAGGGCTTCAGCGAGAAGGGAAAGGGATGCAAAAGCCTGGGATCTTGTACTTGTCCGATAACTCAGGGTACCTGTATGCATCCACTCGTGCCACCTGTTGATTGAGGGAGGAGGGGCCTGTTGACATGACTCATGGGCCTTTGCACTCGGCAGTCAATAGCGTTACTCCGTTGTTTGAGACGTCTCAAAACACAATGACTCATGGGCCTTTGCACGCGGCACTCAGTAGCGTTACTTCGTTGAACAAGGTTGTACTTGTTCATTGACTCAGGGGATCGGTATGCATCCACCCGTGCTACATTGTTGTGAGTGGAAGGAGTGGCGGGGTTGGATTCTCACTTGAGCACGTAGCAATTGCCCTTAATAAAACGCCCACCTCCATTGAGCCAAACCACTCTCAACAACCCCAACTGCACCACGTCATACCACTCACACAACCCCACCTACAACTCACACCACTCACAACGCACCCACCCCATATGCACCAACTCACACCACTCCCAACCCAACTAGCTCTTCTGATGTAGCTTCTCTGCCAGAAAAACCCACATCACCTGCCCACGTCACCTGCCCATGCCACCCCCCATAACATCCCTTGCCACCCCCAACTACCCCATTGCAGCGAGACACACCACTCACCCACCTCCACAGGATCACACCACTCCCAACACCTCCCTATCTGCTGATGCCACCTCTCTAGCATGCACCCTATTCGATCCATACCTTCTACCCACTTTCACCGGGCGGTACCACTCCCAACTCCCCCTCACCTGCACGTTGAAGCTCTCCTGGTGGAGCTTCTCTGCCAGAGCCGCCCATGCGGCCTCCATGCGCTGGCAGTAGGGGCACCAGGGCGCGTAGAACATCACGAGCGTGGGCCTGGTGGTGAAGAGAAGGACCAGCGGAGGGACCAGAGGCAGGGGACAGGAAGAGGGACATCTGGTGAGTTGCCCATGCGGCCTCCATGCGCTGGCAGTATGAGAATCTGACGGGGGGCACCAGGGCGCGTAGAACCATATCAAATTGGGCATCGGGCATAACACCACCTGACACCAAGAAAGAACACATGAAACATCTGAGAACACCTGAGAGCACCCACGTCTACCTGGAAGCGTATCGACTGGAACTGATAGCACTCGAGAGAGTTAATCCGAATTGGCTTCAAATCACCGGAGCTCACCTGAAAGCACCTGACAGCTCACCCGAGAGCACCTGAGAGCTCACCCGAAAGCACCTGAGAGCTCACCTAAAAGCACCTGAGAGCTCACCTGAGTCGCAACACATGGGGCAGAGTGGCCGCAGACAGTTCGATCACTCCTGGCTTCGCCTCCCTCCTGATCGACGCAAAGTGCAGAAGGGCAAAAGAACAGAAACCAAATGCGAGACTTGGAATGAGCAAACAAACAACTTGGAACGAGCAATGGGGAGAGAAGACAATGAAGCACACCACAGACCGACCGTGAGAGACGACGCTTACTCGTGTGGAAACCAGCAGCAAAGTCTCTCAACACTTACAGGTAAAAAGGAACCTTCTTTCCGGTTTCTCCAACCCCCACGATCTGCTCCTCCCCCAACACTATCACTGGCGCCGCGGCCCCCCTGCCGGCCGCTGCTGCCGCATCGCCGCCTGCCAGAAGATCCCCGCTAAGAACCGACCCGCTAGCAGCAGCAGCCTCGCTAAGAACAACCCCGCTCACAGCCCTCCCGGTGGGGGCTAAAACGGCGGACATATTTCGTCCCTGAACAAGCCTCCCGCCAGTCGCGCTCGTGACAAGAGCCATGGCGAAGCCTATAGCCGCAGCGCCAATCCCGAGCCCAAGGATCCATTCCTCCCACGACCACGTCAGTCTGAGCCCCGCCATTCGCGGAGGCAGCAATCCTCCCAGCCTCTCGTCGCCCCCTCCCAACCTACTCGATTTTGAAAGCTCGGCACTTTCCCGAATCGCGTTTTCTCCTTGCGAACCTGGCGATCCGGCACCATCTCTAGGTACGACGATCGGTTCAACTGAGGAGTTATTAGAGGCTGAAGTGAGCGAAAGAGGGGTTGCTTGGGAGCCAGAGTGACTAAGCTGCGGAGCTAGGGTTTCGGAAAGGACGCGGAGAGCGTCAGGGTTGTACCTCGAACCCTCGGCTGCTGCCGCTACCGGGGCTGGGTCGCTCGCAAAAGGGGAGTGGCGAACGGTGAAATGAGCTGGATTGGAATCGCGAGCTCTGATCATCGCGAAAGATTCATAATTTGATCCTACTGTTCCTGCCGCTGCTGCTGCTGCTCCGGCAGGGGTTCCGGCGGGAGCCGTTGTTCCGTCCTGCGCGGCTACTGCTGCGTTCTGCGCTGCTGCGGTGGGGTACCGAAAATAGGGTCGCTCTTGATCGTCAAGTCCTGGGAGCTCCCCATCCGCCAGCGCTGGCTGCGCTCCTGAGAACGCGCTTGGCATCCATATCATCGAGTTCTGCGATCAGGTGCAACCAAGGACAATTATGTATTATATGGCCCAGAAAAGAAAGAAAACGAATAAAAAAGAGGCTATTTTGTGCAAACATGTATTGCAGCTCGAGGGGTCATGATAAAAAATGTCGAGGCTTTACGGGGAACATAAACTCAAGGAAGGACCTTCAACTACAGCTTTGCGACATAAGGACGAAAGCGTCCGAGTTCTCGCGTCGTAACTTTGCGAAATGCATAGCTCGAGGATAACCGAACGTACCTGATTGTCCACCTCAGCACCGTTGGGCCAAACTCGCCTTCGCGAATCAGACGCGAACATACCGCTCCATTCCTCCGCGCTCTCGCCTCTGACATTTCCCGAGACTGCACGGACCGCGTTCTTAGTGGCCAGCAAGGCGTGACCTAGACGAGGTAATGCTCCCGGCCCTACATGTCTACTCGGAAGAGGAGCTAAGCTCCTCATGTTTAAACCCCACCAATCACGCGAATGCCTACCGTAGTACAAGGGCTGCGAGGAGTGGAAAGGAGCGACAGGAAAATGGAGAGTTGAGAAAACCTAATCGGGAGAGCAAAAAGCAGGAATGAAGAAACACGGAGAACCCCGCTGAAAAAAGAGAAACGGGAGACGCGGCAAGCCCTAGGGACACTTGCAAGAGAAGCCATATTACAAAGGTAGCTTCCCCTGTTGCCCACAGAATGGCGTGTAGCAGTTCACACAAAACCCTTGTCAGTCGATCTAGAGCGTACACTAGTGGTTCTGCCACCAAAACTGTTTGGGAGCGCACTCTAATTAGATGCCCGAAAACAGCACCTCAGACAAAACCAGCACAATAATCGAGACCTCTCCCCTAGCCCTGATTGGCTGTAAACACGCCTCGAGCTGTGCTGGCGTGGATATCGGTGGACGACCAGAAGTGGATATCGCTTCCAAGTTCCAACAAATCAGGATATATTCGTTATTTGCAGCTGCATTTCAACCTAAAAATACAGAGTACAATAGACAGAAATAGTTCTCGCCGTATTCTGGTATAACTTGCAAGTAGCAGTATTCGGCATGATCATATTTGTGTGTGTTGCGTTCACCAACGTTTATCTCCTACACCGCAGGTGCAACAAGAAACCATACATGCGCCACGCCAGCAACTATGTAGCCGATAACATGCATGTCTCTTCCTGACGCAGCGTCAACTACGGGGCTAGTAGCGCTCTTAACTCGTTCCATCTGTTGGGGTAAGGAAAACAATCTCTTTCTCTAAAGGTACTTCTAGTCCTCGCTCCAAGGAGTCTTCACTCCGAAGAGGTTTTCCTTGCCCCAAGCTCGTCCCTTTCTATAGCAACCATGGCTGCGGCCCCCATAGCTTCGTCGTTTTCCCAAAACTTAACCGTGCCGCCAGCCATTTCGTCCACCTTTTGCGCCAACTCCCCTAGAATCACATCCGTTAGAATCACATCTAAGAGAATTACCCGCCGACGCTCGCAGCGCGTCCAGAGCTCACTAAACGGCGATAGGAACGTTTCAATAGCAACGTCCGAAGCAGCCGAGCGACGCAAGGCGAAATTGAGGGAGCTTATAGCGGAGCAGATGGCGCAAGTGGAGGAGGAGGAGAAACCGTACAGATTCGTGGACGGAAAGAAGTACTACCTAGATGAGCTTGATATCCCGGGATTCCTGGACGGCTCCCGGTATTTACGGCCGTCCGATCCGGAAACTTACAATCCGGCAGTATTCCTGTGGTGAGCGTTTCGACGCATCCATTAACGAGTACGATTTGCCATCGTCCTTACTTATCTACATGCATAGTGTTCCTGGTTCTCTCTCTGTTAGTCCCTCTGTTAGTCACTCCCTTACTCGTTCGTTCGTCCGTCGTTCTCCTATTACTCCCTTACTCTTCATCGTTCCCTTGTCGTTTTGTGCTCTGGTTGCTGATTGGCTGCAGGAAGAAGATTGGCGACATTCCCGAGGAGAGGCGCCACAGACTGCTGGACCTTCTCAAACCTCAGTCAGTCAATTGTGCTTGAATTGCATTCCATAACTTAGTCAAAACACTTTGTTCATTTGGCGACATTCCCGAGGAGAGGCGCCACAGACTGCTGGACCTTCTTAGACCCCAGTCAGTACACTCTGTTTAAAATTCGTTCCGATAACCAGAGTACACTCTGTCAATCTACTGTAAGGTTTTGGGATTGCCCATCACCCCAGTGAGTTGAACTGTTGAGTGGATGACCCACACACATTCCACCTCAACTTTCCCTCCCGTCCCCCCTCAATGCTGCTATGCTGACGTCACCCTTGCGTTGGACGCGTTTGTGGGATACGGTTGTCCCATTTTCTCCCCTCGCTATGCTCACATCAGCCTCTTTCGAGATGTGGTTTACCCTTATCGCCTCCACTTGAAACAACAACCACCACCTACAACCTCCCACCCGCCCTCCCCTCACCCCACACCTTTCCCCTTTTTCCGCATTCCCTCCTCCCCCTCCCCTTCACGGTCCCCCTTTTCCTTCTTTCCCCTCGTTTTAGTCACTTTACCCTCATGTGGGACGCGGCCGGCAATCGCTTTCAGCTGGAGCAGGAAGATGGGGAGGAAGGTGCGGACCCGGTGACGTCAGCAGGGGGGATGCTGCCAGACGTTGCCACGTCAGCACCGCTGCAGCCAGAGATATGGGATGGGAGGGTGATTGGAGGTGAGGTTTGTTGCAGACCTCTCTGCACCTCTCTACATCTCTCTATCCCCCTCTTCACCTCTCTCCATCTCTCTATCCCCCTCTTCACCGCTCTGTTTATCCCTCTTTCCTCACAGCTGCAGCCAGAAATATGGGATGGGCAGGCGATTCAAGGTGAGTGATAGTGGGGAAAGGGGATTGGGGTGTGGTGCTAGTATGGAGGGCACGGTGGAAGGCGGTGAAGAGGTGAAGAGGTGGAGGCCTGTGGGTGTGGAGGTGCTGATGTGGATGTGTTTGCTCCCGTTGCCCGTCACGAGCAGGCACATCCACATCAGCACCTCCACATCCACAGGCCTCCACCTCTTCACCGCCTTCCACCGTGCCCTCCGCACTAGCACCACACCCCACTCATTCAGTCACACCCTTACTCCTCCCGCCGACAAACACATCTCCTCTGCACCTATTGCTGCTAAGCCCTACAAGTCCCTACCCCCACAAGTCCCTACCCACCACCAGCCTCAGGTCCGCTCTCATGGCTTGTGCAGTAAATTGGAGACATGACTTCGAATGCTCATTCCCCACGTGCCCATGTCACCTGGAAACAAATAGCATGGTATTTGAATTTGTATTCGATATTCGACCAAATGTCAAATACAAATCAAATCGAGTTGCCTTTCCCTAGTCGACATTATTCGGTTTTTCAAGCTCGCAAATACAAATACTCGTTTTCCTTAACTCGAATATTCGAACGAGTATTCGTATTTCAACCGGGTGTATAACATACCTCTCCTATGCCACTTTTTGAGGGTGCTTGAGTGGATAGACGGCAGTCACTGTGAGGCCCATAGTTAAACAACTAGTCAATAAAATCATACAAATCTCATACCTAGCATCTTGTAAAGGAACGCTTGAACCTTGGTGGGGTTGCACAAAGTAAAGTACGGGTTTGTTTCCTAAAATACACAATCCAGGGTGGTAACACGCATACTCGAGTCGATTTGTTTTCGACTCGTAATCGAGCGGATTCGACTCGAACTTGTATTTGATTTTCAGCCACTACTCGATCAAATACAAATCACACAAGATATTCGATCAATATTCGAATACGGAACTCGGATTCGTATTCGTACTTGTATTTACACCCATCCATCCATCTCTCCCCCAATTTCCCCACCCTACCCTCAACACCAGACCCAGGTCTGCTCGCATGGCTTGCGCGGTGGATCATGACTGTCCGATGCTTACTCCTCCATCCATTCCCCAATCCATCTCCCCCCGTCCCTTCCTCCCCCACCCTACCCTCACCCGCCACCAGTCCCATGTCCGCTTTGATGTTTTAGTGCTTATTCTTCCATACGCCAATCCATCTCTCCCTTCCCTTCCCCCCACCTTTCTCCCACCCCCACCAGTCCCAGCTCCCCTCTCATGGCTTTCGCGGTTTCAAAAGGTACCAACGCCCCCTTTGCTCCTGCCTCTTTGTTCCCATTAATTCGCAAAGTATGGATGCTAGTTCTCCATTCAAAAGAAGTGAACTGTTTAGACGTCTACAAAAATCACTTCTTTCACGTGGCTCCTGCCTCTTTGTTCCTGTGAAATTGCAAAGTATGCCTGCTAGTTCTCCATTTGCTCGCTGCTGTCTGACTCACTTATGCTTGGCGTTCAATGAAACAACCTGTAAATTGCAAATTCTCTTGCCCTTCTGCAGACGTTCTTTGTTGGGACTGATGGGCTGCGCTATGGTCGAGTCATCTCAGGTACGTTACAAATCCTGGGTACGTTACATCTCTCACGTGCGTTACAACTCTCAGCTACGTTACATCTCTCAGCTATGTTACATCTCTCAGCTATGTTACATCTCTCAGCTTTGTTACATCTCTCAGCTACGTTACATCTCTCAGCTACGTTACATCTCTCAGCTACGCTACATCTCTTAGCTACGTCACACCTGTCAGGTACGTTACACCTCTCAGAGTCTTCTCTCCCATTCTCTTCCTTCTCCCTCACCTCACGCCATCAGGTGGCCCCCTCTTTACTGGCCTCTCCAATATAATCACACCCTTGTATTTCCGCATCCGGGCGGCATCTCACGTCCTGGCAACAGACGAGCCATGCGACCTCTCCTTTGACTACGAATCCGGGCAGCTTCACCTAAAAGATTCTGGGCTGCCCGAAGGTTTCCCTGACCCTCGTGAGTTGAACTCTTTGAGACCTTGTAGGAGGCAGTGGGGCCGGGGGGGATAGTGGGGCAATCATGGCAGGGAGCGGCGTGAGTAAGGGGCTTCTTTTCCCTACAATCAGCTTTTCTCACTCACTCTCTCTGTCACTCTCTCACCCCCACATCTTCCTCCCTTCACTCGCCGAATATATCAGGGAACGTGAGGGCAGCGAGGCCGGGGGTGATAGTGGGGCAGTCATGGCAGGAGGGCAGGGAGGGCAGGGAGTAAGGGGCTCCTCCCACAATCCATTTTCCTCACTCTCTCTCTCTCTCGCCCCCCCGCCCATCCCCGCTTCTCTCCCCCCATCCCCCTCCCCGATCTCCCTCCCTCCTCTTCCCTCGCCCCACCAGGTCCCCACCCTCCCATATTCAATGATGATTTCAGGGACTATGTGAGGGCAGCAGGGCCAAGGTGATAGTGGGGCAGTCATGGCAGGAGGGCAGGGAGGTGGGAGGGAGTAAGGGGTTTCTTTCTCTTGGAGTCCATTCTGCCTAATCTCTGTCTCCCTCCCTTCCACTCATCTCGCTCCCCACCCATCACCCCTCACCCCCCCACCCATCAGGTCCCCACCCGCCCATATTCAACGACGATTTCAGGGACTATGTGAGGGCTGCAGGGCCGGGGGTGATAGTGGGGCAGTCATGGCAGGAGGGCAGGGAGGTGGATGCAGAGCCCAGGCAGTTCCTGGGAGAGTTTATCCTCGTTAGAAGACACCCTCACCAAGTGAATGTCTGATAATGACTCACTGTAACTGTACATGGATTGTACATGACAAGGATTTTTGGTATAACTGGTGAGGTTCTGTTATGCCAGCCCGTGTTAGTGAGTATCTAACTTCTACGGTAGTGTTCTGTTTCGGAAGAGGTGCTGTACTCTTTTGTGCCATCTCAAACAGTGTCATGACCCTGTCTGCACGCAAACCCCCTTGTCATGGAGACGGTGTCCAGCTCGGCACCTCTTCCTGATGAGTGTGAAACAACCCTTGAACGAACGTAACTTCTGTTACAGAACTTCAAACATACATTACTGCCGTATCATAGATAGAGTGAAGCATTACCGTCTACATGAGGGAACAGCAGCAGTGAGAGTCATGACACCACATGAGTTTTTTTTCGGCTTGCCCTGAGCACATACTCGCATTGTCACTGGTCCTTTCACCAGCCGCCCCAAAAAGTGGGGCAGCTGAAACTTGTACAGGCGCTGACAGCCTTTTCCGGGCACCCCGAATCGCAGGCGGAGGTAACGAATGTTTTTATACCTGAAATGAAAAACGGTAGTCAGCACGATTAGTACAGATGTACATAGGTACAAACAAGCAGAACATAATACAAAAACGCATAGAAGCCTATCACAAGAGAGAATGAAAAGCTACTGACACAACAGTGTTTTGAGACGTCTCAACACATTCAGACACAACAGAGGTTTTTGAAGGTGTCGAAACAACATGTGCGGAGGGGAACTAAGAATCCAGCAGGAACAAAGGTAATAATTGACAATATAATGTGCTGTGATTCTAGGAGTTATCTATTGGTAGTGTTGCAACAACTGGGGCTTAGGAGTGGTATACAGTGGCATATGCGTGGGATAAAAATTCACGTGATTACAGGGCAAATCTTTGAATTGAGGGGACTGGGCAGGAGGGATTTAAAAGCACAAGGAATTAAGGGTATTAGGAAGTAAGAGCAGTTGAGAAGAGAACACTCACGTGATTACAGTGAGTTGTCTTGTATTGGGGGGACTGGGGCAGGAGGGCTTGAGAGGAATGAAGAGCATGGACACATACGGTCCAGAGGAGCAGGAAGGTGTGGAGGACGGGAACACATAGTTGATGCCCTGCGCTGAACCTGCTGCCGAGCCTGCTGTCGAGGCGGCTGCCGAACCTCTGGCACCTGCCGACTTGGGGGTTTGCTTACTGGGGGGGGTTATAGTTGCCAGCTGTCGCTTAGGTGGGTCTGATGGGGAATTGCCGTCGGTGCTGGTAGTGCTGGTGGTGGTGGTGGTACTGCTGCTGCTGCTGCTGCTGCTGCTGTTGGAGGCTTGGGGTGAGGTGAACTCGAAATAAGTACTGGTGGAACCCACCACCATAGGAGGACTAGGTTCGGGAACCGAACCTGGCGGTGGTGTGGTTCGGTTGGGTAAGCTTGTTGGTGGTAAGGATGGCGGTTCTAACGAGTTGTTAGCGGGGGGAGTTGGGGAGGGGGAGCTGAGGGGGGGAGGGGTGGGATTTCCGATGGAGGGGGGAGTTTGCGGATTGCAGGGTTGGGATTGCGCGGAGGAGGGGGAGACTGTGTGAGAAGGATTACCAGGGAGAGGGGGCGAGGGGGAGAGTTGCGAAGGGGGAGAGGGGCAAGGCGGAGGTGGAGGGGGAACTGTACGGTTTGCGGTGTTGTTTGTTGGAACGTACGCAACGTCGTAGATGAATGTGGCCTTTAACGGGGATAACGAGGTGGGAGGTAAACAAGTAGGGGTGGGGGGCCAGGCAGAGAGCAAAATATTACTAATAGAGGAAATGCGATTTTTAGCGAGTTAACAAAGAAAGCGTGCAGAAGGATAAAGGCGGGCAGAAAATGTTCCGAACAAAAACACCACCCGAAAAAAGACAAAATAAAGGACAATCTGAGCACTCGTGCGTACCGGCAAAGACGACGAATTGCCAGAGGCAGCTCCCGCAGAAGCGGAGCCGTTGCCACCTGTCGCATTCGATCGCGCAACGACGACGAGCGTCGCAATAAACGCGCGTCCTTCCGGAATATTTAGCCCGAGCGCTTCCGCAGCGATAATCACCCCCGTTGTAATCACCGCGCTTACGATCTTTCGCAACGACCCAAACTGCTTCGTATTGTTCACTTTTACCGCGATACTCCAAAGCAGGTTCAAAAGCTGCAGCGATCCCCGTTTAAAGCGCGCACGAAATTGTTTTCGCAGCTTCTTCGCTGAACTGGATCGCGCACCGGAGCTTCCGCTCCTCTTCTTGCCAGCGCTCGAAGGAAATTTGTGTTTCTTTCCGCTGCTAGGTTTGGATTTCGGAGTCGCACGCGTAACGACGCCACGGCCGCCGTTAACGGCGTTGGCGACTGCGATGAGGGAGCGCTGCGGCAAACGCCGCGGTGCCTTCAACGAACCGTCGTCTTCGAACTCCGGCTCGTTTAGGGCGAGATCGCTCGTCCATTGCGTTTGCGCTACGCTCATTGTTGTCACATCCGCTTCGTCTGACCCATCATTGGATCCAGATCTGTCCGTCCGATGCTCTCCGCTCCCCTCCCTGCGCGCGCTGCCTTCCGCCTCGTCTTCCGCCGCTTCCGCCACATCGTCCGCTTCTTCCGACAACGTCCAGCCCTCCGCGCCTCCCTCTTCCCCTTCCCCCTCCCCTTCCCCCTCTGCCGCGTCGTCTCCCGCCCGCCAAAGCCCCTCTAGCTCCTCCGCGCTCATCCCTCCAAGACCATCCGTTCCCCACTCCCCCTCACCGTCATCCTCCCCCTCCTCGTCCCACTCCCCTTCGTCATCGCTCTCCCCTCCTTCGTCCCACTCCCCTTCCGCGTCGACCTCCGCGTCCCCGTTTTCCCCCTGCTCTTCTTCCTCTCCTGCGTATTCCTCCTCCCCGCTCTGCCCTTCCTCCCCCTCCCCCCCTTCCCCTTCATCCTCCTCCCCCTCCCCCTTCTTCCTCCCCTCCCCCTCTCCCCCCTCCCCTCCTTCACCTCGTCCGCCTTCCGCCCCATCCTCCGCGAGTCGCGCTTCTCTAGGGGTATCCCCGTCGTCCGCGCTTGAAGTCAAATCGTTACTCGTCCAAAACGACTTGAAAGAGCTCCACCAGTTATGCCGTGGATTGGATCTATCTTCTGCCACAGCCATTTCCCCGTGATTCGTGATTCTGCCAGTACTTTTCTGCCTCTCCAAGTCCAAGCCGCCCGCCCCGTGCGCTTCCGCTCCGTGAGCTTCCGCCTCTTCCGCCGCTTCCGCCCGTTGTATTTCCGCCGCCTGCCTTTCCCTTTCTAGCTTCTCCGTCTGGGATGGCGTAACGTCTCGCCTTGGTGTTTCGACCCCTCTACCCTCTTTCGACAACACCGCCGAAACGAATGGTTCTTCGTTGAAACGCTCCCCGTGAAGTTCCCCCTGAGCTCTCGACTCTCCTTGTATCCTGTAACTAACTTCGTCGATACTACTTTTGAGTCGACTCAGAAGTTGACTTTTGAGTCGACTCAGAAGTTGACTTTTGAGTCGACTCAGAAGTTCCCCCTGAGCTCTCGTCTCTCCTTGTGTCCTATAACTAACTTCGTCGATACTGCCTCCCGCCACGCTCTCCGGTAGCGAATCATCTGCGACCGAAAATGGGAGTCGAGGCGCGTCTCTGGAGGATCGTTCTGGCCACTTGGAAGTTTCTAAAATGGTCGTCTGCTTACTGCTGCCTCCAGCGTCATTTGCGGCGTGAGACACGGGGCGACTCTCGGCGTGAACCGCGGTGCAACTGATAGCGACCACAATTAATGAAAGAATAGCGATCTGAGATCGTCTCATCCTCGCTAAACACTCGCGCATCTCTATCGCTTTCGCTAATGGTAACCCTAATGTTCCGTGAAACCTTCGCGAAGCACTAGTAACAAGTGGACCCATTTCGTACAATACTGGCAGAATGGGATTGCTGCCGCAAATGCAGACTCCTACTTCAACGGGTCGCGCGATTTGATGACGTGGCGCCAGCGTTCCGCGAGGCTACGAGAGCGGCACATCATCAGGTTAGTATACATTAGGACACACTGACACGTGGCGTGTCGCTCTCGTAGCATATCATGTCTTGGGACCATACGCCTCGAATTGACAAACTAGGAGAGTGATAACTCAAAGAAACAAGACTCAGAGTCTGAGCACCAACAGAACAGGGGTGTGCGGCGCCGACTGGACTGGTAACCCGGTAACGCCTTGTGCGTCTGACGAGGCGGGAGCAAGTTATTGACGAGGCGTCTGTACGTGATAGGCTTCCTTTCCGACTGCCACGACGAACACGTATTATTACTACACATAAGCTAATGGCGTTGCGATGCGAGTCGAACCCGACAGCGCAGACGCGTGGGGTGAACTCTGGAGCGCAGTGCGCAGGGCGCAGGGCGCGGAGCTCAACGCATATGCGCGCGTTGGGGATGGGGGAGTGGTATGACAAAGCATCCAAGGATGCGCGACAAATCCGCAGGGAGAGAGGCCAGCCTCGGATCGGAACAGAGTAGGGTGCAGTACGGGCGGAACAACCTTTTCCGTCTGTAGGGGGACAATACGGGCGGAACAGTCAAGTCTCTCTAACCTCATGAAAACAACAGCGACAGCTATCTGACCACAGTAGTCGCGATGCGAGGTGTAAACTGCGGTGAATCGAATATGCGAGATACAGTATCGGGACCAAAGGAGAGGAGGCGGTGGACAGTGATGGATGTACTATGTACAGTACACCGCCAGTACAGTAATCTGGGGATCTGGTGAAATGAAGCTCGAAGCGCAAGGACGTTGTTCCAGTCAGACGCTGGTGGAAGGGAGTGGGGGAATGGAGGGGGGGGGGAAGGGGAATGTATTGAAAGGGAAAGCTGACTTTGGGGTGGCGTGCAAGGGAGGTGTTAGGGGAAAAGGGAGAAGGGAGAAGGAAGGGGAGGAGAGGTAAGGGGAGGTTCGGGGAGCGAGCGACTAAGGAGAGCCAAGCCAAACCGAAAGTCGAGGTTGTTACAATTTGGTTCGGAACAAAATTGATAGACGTGGCTATCCTTCATCATCCCATTCCACCCCACTGCATCTCTTGTCTAGTCAGGGGAACCAAATAAAAGGCCGCGGTTTGCGGACCAGTGGCGCCTCTCGACACTGCGCTTGCCGAATTTGATGGTCTGGGCTGGATGTACGTTGGGGGAAAATGGAGGGAAAGAGGGGGGGGAGGGGTAGGGGAGAAACTGTACTTGGGTGCTTGGGGGGGATGATTGGCTAGCGGGATCAAAGGGGAAAGCGTTTGGAGGAATTTGGAGGGATGAGGAGGCGTAGGGGGCGATACAGGCAGCAAAACCTCGATTTGATGGGTGGGGGGGGGGGTGTGGTTGGGGGTCGGGAAAGCGGCGCAAGTGGGAGAAAATCTGCTCCAGCGGTGGTTAGGGCTTGGCTGGAGGGAGCGGAGGGTCGTGGCTCGTGGCACTACAGTTCTAGGCCAGTGGCTATGGTTAGGTGAGGAGGAAGCCAATCAAGTACAGTGCTCACCAAGGCAGTCTTACTCTATAGCGTTCCGCCTAGGCGGGAGAGGAATGCTACCGAGGCGGGAGATATACACTGAGGAGGAGATGCCTAGGCGGGAGGGGGGATGGTTTGGGGATGCTGCTGAGGCGGGAGAGCAGTATGGGGATGCCGAGGCGGGAGGGGATGCCTAGGCGGGCGGGAGGTTGGCGAAGGCGGGGTTGCATGGGCGGGGTTGCATGGAGGGGAGGCCGCCTCGGCCCATTTGAAGAAAGTCTTCCCGTCAGGACCACCATCGACGTGTTTTCGGTCAGCCTGGCAAATCCGGTGGAACGTGAGCTGTGATGGCGGGTTTTGTGTGGCGGGGTTCTCGTCAGAGTCTCGACTCAAGAGAAGTGACCAGGTTTTGTGTACCTGGCCCTGTTTGTGATTTCACGAAATTCCAGCGGGTGCCCGAATTTCGGAGGGGAAGGGCGGGAAAATAGTGTTGGGGGGTCGGGGGAAAACGCACACGTGGCGAGGTCGGAGCAATTTAGGTCGATTTAAAACCCGCAGCCTGATTTACACATGATGCCCAACCCCTGCACGCGAAATTGCCTTGCACGTTCCAGAAACCTTGCACGCGCGGGTTTTTTTTCCGGGCAGTTGCACCCACGTTACAAGCACGTCGACCAATACGAACCACAGAAACTGAAGAGACCGAAGTCAAACAGTCAACGGTGAGTTACAAAATTTTGTTATAAGCCCTTTTTGCCCGAAGCGAATTGACGAAACCTCCACGAAATGCAAGAATCACTTAAGAGCCCCCTTCACAAGGCAACCTTGGGTTAGTCAAACGGGCATCGTGTGTACAAAAAAAGTTGGGAGGTGTTAACACCTCACCTTCCGGACCAACAACTCCCCTCCCGAACCAGGGTGGTTACCAGGTCTCCACCTGCAAAACGTGAAAGAAGTCGCAGGCAGCACAGGGAAGGGTCGCTCGGTTCCTGCGCAACCACTCTAGCTGTGGTGTGCACACCAAACTCTGTCTTGTAATTCAGGTCGACAGAAAATGCTTAGTCTGAGCAGCTAGAGCGACAGCCAATAGCTTAGAAATTCTAGGCTTCCAAGCAAATCCAGAGCATGTCTGAAAATTCCGCCATAGTGCTTTAGGACCGTGACTCCATTCTTGCAATCCGTCGCTTTTGCCAAACGCGGGCCTAGGTCACGTTTCCACGTTTAGCCAAGGGTGTTCAAGCTAAAGCCGTCGCGGAAGAGAACTCCTTCCCGTCGCCCATTTTCTCTCAAACAAGCACGCACACTCCCTTCCGTCACCCTCGCGCACTCCATTCCGCTGCCAATGCGCGCGATTGAGAAAAGCGCGATTTCGCCCTTTTACAAAAATTATTTTTCCGATGCATAGTACCGGTTCCGATCTCGGTCAAAACCCGAAACTAATGGGGTGTCTGCAAATTTATTGAGTCCGTCACACTGTGCTAAGTGCAAAGGAGAAGGGGATGGGCTGGGCCGCACTTCCTTCCACCATCCATGCCTAACCGACCAAACTCGTGGGTTGCGTTGGTGATGCATCACGGTGTACCAAACTTTTGAAAAAAGAAATCAAATTAGACGGTTATATACGTTTACATAAGCTGTTATACACGGTGCAAAGTGGTCGAGGCTCGAACTGCATGCAATATGAATGAAATGCACTGCGTCCTTATTGCGGCCTCCACTAAGTCCTGTCTCGAGGGTCATTATCCTCCCATCCCACCCCAATCCGCCCCACTCCAAATCTCCCCACCCAACCGAACGGCGTCGTAACCTATTTGTTCCTCCATAAAATCAGACGCGTGGCTGGACTCTTCCTATCCCACGCGCATTTATGTCCAAGTTGCAGGCAACGAAAACAATACTAAGGGCACATCACCTCGGGGCTGGAAGGCCGAAATCCGAACATACGTAACGAATTCACTGTATGAACTGTTTCCCGACAAGACCCGAACTCAAATATGTTATGGTGAATGTGACAGCTCGTGACTAGAGGTGACAGCCTGTTCGAACATGCGACGTCGCCAAGTGTTGGACGACTTCGCGAAACGTCGCAAGGAAAAAATTCAGTCGTCTGCAATTTCAGTTTGACCGATTTTTCGCCCATCCAGTCAAAATGTCTCTTCGTGTTCTTCTACTACTGCTCACCTTGTTTCCCAGCAACAATGTCCATTTGGATGCACTTTCTCCTGCATGGCGAAATTCGCAATGGTCGTAAACATTCGTATGCGACCCGAAGCTTGCTGACCAATCAAATCAGTCGTCCGTGCGGAATCCCTGTCACCAATCCCAACTTGTCCGAACAAATCTGTTCGAACATGCGGAATGAAGAGCTTCTTGCCCCATGTGACAGCACTGTTCAAATTCGCGAAACTTCCGACTAGCGACGTCACGAACACCCATACGAGGAGATGCGAAAAGTGTAACATTTCGCTTGTTCGAACGTGCGTGCTGTTCGAACTGAGAGGTGAAGCGCCCTAACTTGCAAGAAACAACAGCATGGTTGAGAGCGTTAAGAGATGTTTCGGTATGGTTTATTAATACATTTTTAATACCTGCTGGTGCGATGGTCGAGAATTAGGGTGTAGCCCAATATACAAATAAATAACTGGTAATACCAACATGGG